ATACAGCCCCCCTGGAGCAGTTGGGGTTAAGGGCCTTGCTCAGGGGCCCAACAGAGTAGGATTCCTCTGCCAGCTGCAGGATTTGAGCCAGCAACCTTCCAGCCACAGGCGCAGATCCTTAGCCACAGTGCCACTGCTCCGCCCGAAATACCATTTAATACAGTATTAGGAAATGTTTAACATATTTAGAAACACCTGAGCCCACCTTCTGATATTCTGCACTTAATATTGTCAATAGGTCACAAAAGTTTCAAAAACAAAAAAAGTTCAAATGAAAATGTTTTTGTCCATTGTGCAAGAGTGACAGAAAAGAAAACAAACGTTCATGTATTTTGGAGGAAATACAGTGAATGTCAGAAAAAGGAGAATTATTGCTACTGTATGTGGAAAATACAGTATGTTGCTTTGAGAGAAAGGACATCAACCTTTCTATAAGAAACATACCCAGAAAAGACGTCTGTCATTCATGAAAGTATTTGTGGCTTCAAACTAGATGTTTACGGCAATTCTATTATGCTATGTCAAAAAGGTATTTTCAACCCTCAAATATCCTATACATGTAATCACAGAAGTTCAAAGAACAAAGACATTTGGAAGACACAATTTTCTGTGTTGTTTTTATACAGGGGCTTCAGTCTTGGAATTGACATTGAAATTAAAATTGATTATTTTCAGGGCAATAATCAGAATACTATATGAAACTGTTAATATTATAGGAATCCTCCAACAGCAGGGTGTGAACCTAATGTTTCTGTGTTCATAATTGAGATATTTATTCTCTCTCTTTCATTGTGCACAGTTCAATGTGGAATAATAGGGGGTTGATTTGTATGAAAACTCTCTAAACATTTTTATGTTTTGCAACTTTTACTCCAGAATAACAATGTGTTGTAGAGGATTAAAATAATTTTAAAAATTAAATTGTGTTAATATTTAATATTTTGTATATACTGTACTGTATTGTCCTGTCGCTCTTTAAAAGAGCTGATTGGCAATCTAGACTAGGACAACAGATGATAGGGTACAGTGCATTACAGTTAGATAATCATTCAGGACTGTTTAAATTAAGATGCATTGACTATTTTAAAAGAGTTCAAAGTGAAAAAAGAAACAAAAGGTGGTAGTACAATCTTGGATGAAGAATTTCCAATTCTGGTCCTGTAAATTATACCAATTCAAACAATTTAATTTCACTTCAGGTGCTGGTGCTTTAAAGTAATCTAAATAATCTGCTGAAACATTGGATTAGATAGGATATACTTGATCTTAGAGTTTCTAAAGCCCCCAAAACAATGTGTTCCTACATATTGTAAATGTTCCCCTTTAAAACTTTGAGCACTTGGGTAATCTGAAGAGGAAAAAACAGCACAAGTGCTTTTCTGGAGAGCAGGTTGAACTCCATATTCCAAACATCACCAATTTATACTGTATGTGTGATCACTGTGGTTCTCAAACTGTGGTACGCATACCACTGCTGGTACGTGGAGCGACTCTAGGTGGTACGCCAGATGACCCTGGAAATATGTTGTGTGCACTGAAAAATCGGGGTGGGTTTTCATATTTTCTGTTTTAATCAAATGTGTTTATGTGTCAAATACACATCCTACATACTACAGTACAGCACGTGCTAGTACGTGAGTGGACACAAGAGCTACTATGTAATTCTATACCATTGAATAGGAATGCGTGCTATGAACGTAAGTGACCAATTGTGTTAAAAAAAATTATCTCCAACAAATAGGGAGGTAGGAGAATATGCGTAATTTTGGAACACTGGCAATCTTGTGAGCACAGGAAAGCGTGATAGATAACAGAAATATATTTAAGGACTGTTCTAGGTTAATTTGAGAAAAATACACTGAGCGTCAGTGTGTTTTTACTCCCATGCGCATGAAATAAAAACTTCTTTTAACTTCTGAGACATACTCCTGAAATGGAAACGGGGGAAAATGCAAGCTTGCGGATTGTTAAAGCAGGTAAGCCCCACACTATTTGTGAAGAACTTTGTTAACCGTTGGCAAAAAAGCTGATACGTATTATGTGTGGAGAAAAAGCTGCTAAACAGCTCGACCTGCTGCCTCCTCCAAAAGACACAGTCACTCAGAGAATTATCGATATGGTGGATGGTGTCAAAAGTACACTGATAGAGCTCGTTAAGAGGAGCAGATGCTTTTCACTGCAATTAGATGAGTCTGTAGATGCCGTTGATTTGGCCAATTTGCTCATTATGTTAGATACGACGTTTGAGGGTACGTCCCATGAGGACTTTCTGTTCTGTAAGCCGCTACCAAAAGGAACTACAGGAGAGCACATATTTCAGCTTCTGAATGAATTTATCCAAGAGAATGGCATTGACTGGAAAAAATGAGTCGGAGTTTGTACAGACGGTGCTAGAGCGATGACAGGCAGACACAGCAATGTAGTTGCACAAATTAGAGAGTTTGCTCCAGATATGAAGTGGACGCACAGCAGCATCCACCGTGAGGCCTTGACAGTCAAGAAAATGCCTGAGGATTTAAAATCTGATAGACTCTGCTGTCAAAGTTGTGAATTGTATCAAGGCTCAACCAGTGAATTCACTACTGCTTTGCTCGACTAAACAGACTCACCCATCTCACTGTAATGGCAAGTGCTCAGTGTTATTTTTATTATACAGTATGTGTGAGTGTGTGCGAAGGCGCGCTTGTTGGTTAATGAGATTTTCTGTGGTTCCTATGAGAAGATGACTTGTAGGTGGTACTTCGATGCTTTGGTTTGATCAGCGGTGGTACTTGGTCCAAAAAGTTTGAGAACCACTGTGTTATCACATCAGCCAGCTGTGATAGAGATTCACACAACTGAGTGCTGATGAGGTTTGGCTTAGACAAAAGGCTACTGTATATACTGTATACTTTTTCACTTACTAGCATGTCTTGTGACAGCTGCATTAGTTCTCCATTCTATGTCAAAAGCTGTAGTAGGATCTAAGGGACTGTCTGTGAAAAAAGCAGATACTGTAGCTTGACAATCTGATTTTCCTGGAGTTAGTCATCCTTCCCTTTAAAGTGAAAGGGAAAGCAGCAGTGAGTTGAGTTAATGCAGACTTGTTCAGTTTAAGTTAGAGTTATGGAAAAAGAAAATTCCTGTTTTCAAATACTTTATATATATATATGATTTAAAGTAATCAATTGCCGTAAAGGGTAGAGGGAGTCTAGAAAAAGCTGCCCTTCCTGTTTTAGAAACCAATCACCTGGTTTGATTCCAAGAAACAAATGAATCACATGGATCTAACTGGATCAAGTAGACAGAAAAAACACATGCCTGTTCCATCTAAAAGATTCTTGCATTCCATTGTGTAACTTGTGATCTTGCAGGGATGATATTTTTTCTTTGGGGCATACACAAGTTACAGGGAGCTGTGCATAATCAGAAGTTCTGTACTATTTTGATATAAAGGAAACAATGTAAATGTGCAGGGTAGGTGAGTAATGAAGCTGTTTTTCAGGATGAAATGTCACAGTGTTAGCAGTCTTACAGTGTTTGTTAAAATGCTTCTGCAATCTCCACTCCATTCTCAACTACCATTACAGGAAAAACACAACTTTCAGCTGTAGCTTTCTTGTGAAAAAATAAATATTGATAACAATAAATGGTCTATTAAAAATAAAAATAGGTAAATAATGAATTTCATTAAATCAACAAGGAAAAAAACATGGGGATATTAAAGGCTAAAATCAATACTGTATTTCTTACAGTACATAGTGCACACTTTTTCTTACACTTAAACTTAAAACTACTAATGACCACCTTGCATTTAGCCTAAATATTGTTCTCCTTAATATTTATGAAACAGGATCTGATGTGAGGTTTTTGACTAAAAAAACATTGTTACAGTTTTTTCCTGAATTTGAACTACTGTATATAATTATGAAATGTCACAAACTTTCAGGGCTCAGTGGATGGCAAAGGAATTTATGGAAAAGAAAACCATATGATATTACATGAGTGATATCTCTTGTTTGATAACATGCAGTAGGTTGAAGAAGCTGTATGCTATTTGGAAATATAAACATTGTAGAACATGCTAAAAGTTGAGAGAAGCACATCCTATTAAGATGATTTTAAACAAATCAGTGTAAATCAGTAATCATAAAAAATCATACTAATTTTGTTTGATGTCACTGTTGATCGATTTGATCTCCTTTGATAACTGTTAATTTAACCAGCTTGATGTTATCAGGGTTTTTCTTGTTACTATGTAAAATATTTTAGTGACATTTTGTCAGATGAATAGAGCAAAACTGAGTGTTATTTTCTTAGTCATGTAGACTCTACTTTGTCATATGCAACCAGCTGATAAAATCTTGAAGTGTTTCCCTCAGACAAAATCTCAACAATTAACAATAGTTTTCATTTCTGAAAATTGTGAATTCATTTAAAAAAAGCCATTTAATTTTATGTTGGCCAATATGCTCTACAAGTATAAGAAATCAATCGTTGTGTTTGTTTAACAAAAAACATCACTCATACCTTAACATACTGTATAGTTGTTCATACTATACATGAACAGGTATTAAAGCTGTATAATGATGGATATGAGGACACTGAGGTAGATGCCTTTAAT